GACATTTAATAAGAGAACAAAATTATATACTCAAGACAAAAGACAACAGTGCTAGGCACAGACCCAGGACAGGTGTTGTGGAAAAGCCTAGCTCAGTGATGCCTAGGAATTTCAAGTTCCGGAGAAAAGGCAGAACTAAAATTAAGAATAACAAAGTCATTAGTATATACTCCTTGGCAGATTATTAGCTATATGTGAAAGTTTTGATAAAACAGGCTTTTAGAAAATTTTTAAATTTCAGACTGAAGAAAAACCTATTAGCCATTTATTTTCACTGTTATTCATTGCCATGGAGCCCAAGTATTCCTTTGTTTTCTTACTCACATTTAGTCCACATTATCACAAATAAAATACAAATCACAAGGATGCCATTACCCTTCAACATTTCCCTGACATATAAATGCAAATTTGCATTAAATCCTTCAAGAAATGTACAGTGCAGTGAATGAAATATCTTTCCATAAAAAGTACTGTAAATAATGAAATAATTGTTAGTTCAATACACACAAAACTTTACATACAGTTAAACTGACCTAGGTGCTTTTATATATCTTAGATATACAATATTCAGTACGTATAGAATAATAGTTACTTGAGAAGAATATAATCTCTGAATATATGACACTAATTTAAAAACAACTTCTATAAACTCACTTATCTATTTTGCTATTCACCCACTGATCCAGAAATTTTACACACCATAAATGATGGGAAAAGTTAGATACATAAATAATGAATGTTGCTGATACTTAGTGTAGTTCTCAAAGGCTAAAAACCTTTTCCAAAAATCAATATTTGAAACCTGTTGCTTTAGATAAAGAAGCCAAAACTTTAACTATTTTCGCTCTAGTACAGGAAAGCTTTGAAACAAGTTCCTCTATGCGCTCTAAAAAAGTTAATTTTAAAAAAGGGGGACAGGAGGAGGACCTTAATTTCCAAGAATATCAGCCTAAAAAGTAACTTTATAGGATGACAATGTCTGAGTAACTTTAAAAGCAAGAGAAAAATAGTAATTTAAAATGCTGGCATTCCACAAACCTAGTAGAGCATAAAAATGATTCTAAAAGGGAAACGTAATGAAAAGATAAAAAACTGAAAGCAAATTAATTGATTAAAACAGACGCACATACACATTGCATGCAGTCATTCAACATTATACGCTAGCTAGCCTTGTATTTTCTTTTAAAACATAATCATAACTTCTTAATGTATAAACCAATAAGGCTCTCAAGATACTCACAAAAAATTCTAATTAAATTTCGCTCTAGAGTAATAATCTGTTAGAGTATTAGGCCTAAATAAATCTGTTATTAAATCAGGACTCAACGCTTGCTATTTTCCATAGCAGGAGCTATATAAATGACAAGCCCTTCCATGTTTTTGTTACTAGATTTGGTACACTTAAAAATAAGCAGTATTCCGCATCCAGAGTACTCTGATGCAACTGTTTTTATAGAATTTGTCATTCATCCTAATATTCAGTCTTTACAAAAAAACCCACAAGAGGATTTGCAATTGTTACTATCTTGCACAGTAAAACTGTGAGTATTTGTTCTGTTTTTAAATCCATAGGTTTTGCTCTACGAGGTTTAAGAACTTTATTATATCTTCTTTTGGTTGTTACTAATGACTTTAGCTTAAAGATCATTAATTTTAACATTAACATCCTGCTATATTCTCATTTGAGTTGTTCTATTTATCTCAAAGGTAGACTTTATGTATTACCATCACAAAAAATATCTATTTGCATAATACTTTATGATTTTACATCTATTACAAACACATCACAGGGAGCCTGAGGACACATTCAGCAGCTTGTCATTCACCACTTCAAGATCCTTCAGAACCAAACAAGGGGGAGGGTGACATTTTGCTAATGGAAGAAGTAAAGAATGAATATAAATAAGAAACCTTGAAGTTTTAAAACTATAAAAAATTTTAAAAATATAAACAAAAATATGATCCAAATGCACAAACAAGATGGTTTCAATTTGTAAAACTCCATGTCCTCCATATAGAGTAAGGTGTTTGGAGATTTATGTATCTCCTATTACGATACCTATTTAAATTATCTAAAACTGCTACAAAAAAACAGGAAATGATTATCTTCTTGCTGGATTTTATAAATTAATATCCTATTAAAATTGATTGCACTTATTTACAGAATTCAGCTTTTCCTCAGCCTTGCAAAGTAATTTGAGTATTTCCTTATTACTCTAGCCTTAACCCTATAAGTATGCATATTAAGAATGTTTAAGAGGGACATAATAAAGATCTAACATGTTTAGAAATTACGTTGTTTCATAATTTCCTGGTAAGACAATTACAAAGAAAATTGTTTAAAGCTTTTATATTTTCTTCCATAACCACCAGACCAGATAAAAAATACTGAATGCTCAGTTATGTCACCTCTAGTCCAAATGCTCATAGCAGTTAAAGCTTTTTGTAAACAATATGCCTCTATACTAAATACATATCCCTTGAGCCAATTAATTTAACATTTTCTAATGTAGTTTCAAACGCAGACTAACACCATCTTACACACACACACACACACACACAGAAGTGTGCAGAAAGGGAAGGAGATGGAGAGCAAGAAATGGAGCACGTTGTTGTTTTTCATTCATGCAGTATAGTGATGTCAGTGTCTGCAGCAGCAGCAGCAGGAACCTTGACCTGTGGAGGCTAAAATCCACTGAAGTCAGAACCTTACAGAATTCAAAAGAAACTGAGTAGATAATCATTGGAAAAATTGTTCAGCTGTTCATAGTATGAATTTTAAATGGCTAAGTAAGACAAAATAGATTAGTTGTACAGTTTTAATTTGGGTAGAGAGGAGCAAGGCGGGATGTGGAGAAGTAACAAAAAGGTAATATAATCAGAGAACTGGGGTCAGAAGAGCCTGCATTCAAAATCACTTCAATGTAAGAAACTGACAAAATCACCTGGTGTTAGAAACAGCAGAAAAGCCTCTTCCATTCCCAACAGAAGCTGATGATGCAAATCTGTCTGCTGCACAACCAGACTCAGAAAAGCGTTTTCATCATGATTGCATTAAAATTGCATTAAACTCGGATGTGCCATACTACAACAAAGAGGATAGTTTAAGCCTGATCACAAATTTCATTAAAACTACTTAATGATGGACCATGTAATTCCTAAGCAATGAAAGGCTTTTGTAGGACGCCGAAAAACAAGTTGTACTATGATCTGTTGTAAGATGTTAGTGTTTATCAACAAAAGGGGAGGAGGTGCTAGATAGCCATTATATTGTTGCAGCAATTGCTGAAACTACTCTTACTCTGCCCAAAAAATCCTCTGTATACAATGTGTGCAATGCTTATTTTATGGCTCTTACATTAGTCCCTAAAAGAAAATCCCAAAACCCAAATCTATGCACTGTTGAAGCTAAATCAGTCAAAATATATGTAACTGCTGCCTTCTTTTCCTTCTGTTGCCTCTCATTTCATATAGCTCTAGAAACTGTGCAAGGGAGTTGCATATGGCATTAATCTGTTAGAAAATGGTGGCCTTTTCTATAAAATACAGCCAAAGATGTGTGTTCAGTCGTGGTCATTATTAGGGCGATCACGTTGTTTTCATTCATTCATTCAGGATTTGCTGGAGGATGTCAGTTTCTGCAGCAGCTGGCTTGACCTGGGGGAGGAGTGGGGGAGCAAATTCCTCCTGATGCATACAGATTACAGGATGTATTTCTTGGTGCTCAAGTACACATCCCAATGCACTATATCCTACCCTGCCTCACCATCAAGTGGTATGAAAACAAGTGCCTCAGCAACACGCTAATTACAGGTCAGAAATAGTAAAACAAAAACACTAAAACTGCGATCTATCATAACACAATCACTCTCTCCAGGTCTAAGACCTTCATCAAGAAAACTCCATTAAAAAAATTTCCCATACCACATAAACACTGTACAGAGCTCACAGTGTTTCCCTTCCAAGCAGAGATTTTTTCCACTCAGTACGATCGGTTCTATCCACAATGCAGCAGCAGCAGCAGCATCTGTAGCTCTAGCCTGGTATCTAGTAATATTAGCTACTCCACTCTCCCTTATGAGCTTTAAGTCCCTGTTTTGGCTCATCTTCCTCTTCTCTCCCAGGACTCAACTAGATCATGCACTGTGTCCCTAGACATAAACAAAACCAAACTAAAACAGAAAACATTAAGGGAAGCCGACAGCATCCACCAGCTCACCGTTACCTTTGACACCTAACAAAAAAGAAACTTGAGATCCTTTAACAGCTCAACTGAACTGTTAAGTGTACTTAAAAATGGAAGGAAAAAGTGAGCACATTCCACAAACAGGGCTTCCGAAATTCACCATGAAAATCTTGAGTTGGGCATAAACCGTTTCCAGCGCAGTACTGCTCCGATGCATATGACTATATAAAGTAGAGAGAAGAGAGAGACCGAAAAAACAGAAACAAAAAAAACACCATACACTTCAATTGCACATCCAAAACTGTCCCGCTACACATCCAACAGACATCCTTACATCATAACTAATGCCACTATCCCTCCAAAAAAGAAATAGAAATTCTCCCGGCGGTCACAGACAAGTTAGGAACTTTGTAGGAAAGCACAAAGGGGCTGTAGAGACTACAACCTCCACCTTATCAGCTGCCAGAGAGTTTGTGTGAGTGTTTTTTTAAGTGTTTCACCCAGCTCCTCCTTCCCCCGCTACAAACTGCAAACACAGGAGTGAGCTAATCAGCTCTCAAACCGAAAAACCCTTCGATGCAGGCGAGTGATGGAAGAGAAAATCTGCGGGGCGGCATGAGGGTCAAATAAAAGTTGCTTTCCAGTCCGCTCCTCCAAGCCCCGCAGCGAGCGCAGGGGGTGAGATTCCCAAAGCCACTTTCACACCTTCGAGAATGCACTAGCAAAGAGAAGCCGGAGAGGCTGCCGTTTCCACGGAGGGCACCGTCGGGGAGACGCAGCCCGTGAGGACGGACGGAAGGGTTGGGCTCGCTACCTCTGCACACGGGCGAGCCGGGGCTCCGTCTCTCAGGTGAGTTGCTCCTCCGGTGGCTCTCCGGGGACCGTCTCGGGCGGCCCTTGGTCCGCGGCGCCTGCTCGGTCGGGGCCGCGGCCGGCGGCGGCGTCGGGCTGGGCGGGCTGGGGCCGCGGGCCGCGCCGGGCCCCGGGAGGCTGCCCAGCGAGGCGGCGGCGGCGGCGGCGGCCGGCGGGCGCGTGGGACTGTGCTGGCTGCCCCGCAGGAGCTGGTAGGGCACCGTGGCGCGGATGGGCTGCAGCAGCCGGCCGGCTCCCGCAGCCGGGGCGCAGCCCACGCCGCCGCCGCCCGCACCGTTCCCGCTCCCGGCGGCGGGGGCGGCGGGCGGGGAGCCCGCGGCGCTGCGCCGCATCCTCTGCGGCGGGGGATGAGGGGTCTGAGAGGAACTGGAGGAGGAGGAGGCAGTGGACATGGTGGCTCCGCGGGCCCTGGACGCCGCCGGCCGACACGGAGGCGCGGAGCGGGAGGCGCGCGAGCGTGTGGGAGCCGGCGCGATAGTGCGTGCGAGTGTGTAAGGGGGAGGGGCGGGGGTATCGGGGAGGGGGAGGAGTCTCTCGGCTCCCCCTTCCCAACGCGCACCCCCGCCGCCTCGGCGAGGGGGGAGGGGAAGGCTGCGAAAACAAACGTCCAACGGCCCCAACCGCCCGGCCGGGCTCGGGGTGGCGGTCACGGCCCGGGCCGCGAGGAGCCCGGAGCAGCCGCCGCCGCCCCGGGCATCGCGCTGACAGGGGAGCGGGGCAACCGGCCGAATCAAGCAGCCCTGGAGGCCGCTTGCAGCCTAGCGGGGCTGCACGCGCGGGAGAGCCGGGCAGCTGCAGGGAGGGCCGGGACCCCTGCTTCTGTGGACCAGGGTAGAGGGAGAGGGCCTCGAGGGGTCTAGGTCTCCGCGGAGCCCCCACCACCGCAAACGCCGCCGCTGCCGCCGCCTCTGTCCACTCGTCACTCCAAATGGCAACTAATCCCCCCATCCGCACCCCGCCCCTGGGACCCGGCAGCTGCCGCCCATTGGCTCCGCGGCTCTCCAGCAGAACTCTAATGATTGGTTTCGGAATAGGAGTGAGAGGAGCATCTGCCAATGAAAGTGGCGCGTCCTACTTTGGGGGCGGGGCGTCGAAGAGTGAGGAGGGGGCTGTGCGCTCACGGAGGGGCGTGAGAGTTGACAGCCTTTGAGGTGAGAGCGAGACTTTGATTGGGCTGCCCTAAGGAAGTGGGTCCATGTGCGTCCTGCGCGTGCCCTGATATCCACAGACACATGCATGCCCCGGTAAGCAGGTGGCGAGGTCTCCACCCTCCTGAGCGGATTGTACAAGTTGAGACAGAGGACACTTAATGCAAACTTTACTTTGCAAGTACACCTGTTCTGGTGGGATGTTTTGGAATTGAAGCAGAGGAATCCATCCCTTCCACTCTAATTTTAGTAAGTTTTCATGGCTAGTAGATCGATCAAAAGAACTTCAGGTCATCAGAAACAATATCTGGAAGCTGGATTGAACAATGGGCAGATACCGTTACAGCCTATCCTGACATTTGTAGTTATGTGGTGAGAAGAGATATTCAAATCTTCTGTTCCAAGACAATAACTCTGATTGCAGGGGTCAACGGAGAATTGGTACATCGTTACACCATCAGTTAAATATATTAATGGAGGGCATCCTATTGCCTTTCCCCAGAAGCTGATGGCCTCTTGGGAGAAATAAATATCAGACTTACTGTAACAGTCCACTGTGGTAAATTTAGTTTTTATTCTGCAATGAAACTGAAGAGACACAAAAATTTCATATGACTATCCAAAACCTACGTTTACCCCACAGTAAACCAAGGTTTTAAATCTTACACAGGAACAATTAATTTAAGGGTCTACATCAGATACCCTTCATTAATTTCCATGAGATAAAAAAAGAGAAGTGGGATATCAGATTGGTTTACTCTTGGTGTCTGCCCACACTGACAAGCTTCCTCTGATTTCAGGCATTATATGCAGGGGTCAGTTTCACTTAGAGAAGCCATCTCTCTGCTTCCTTGTGCCCTCAGACCAGAAAGTATACTAGGTTCTGTAAAAAGTGGATGAAACCCAATAAAAATAGAAGAACTGCATCCAGTACTTATCCCATTAAGACTAGTGATAGTTTCTCACTTTATCACACAGTAGAATAATAGCTAACATTTATTGAACATTTGCCATGTGCCAGCCACTCTTCTAAGAACGTTTCATGTGTTAACTCATTCAGTCCTCCTATTATCCACAAGGTAGATACTGTTATTAGCCCTTCTGTGTTCTCAGCTGAGGCACAAAACACCTAATGTCTTGCCTGAGATTACTCAGCTAACAAATGGGGAGCTAAGAATCTAACCCAGCCAGACTATTTGAGCCTGTGAATAAGCCCTCTGCTCTAGCACATAACAGCTTAAAGCTGTGGACTACATGACTGGTAGAGTATTTACAACAGTCCACAAATCTCATCTGTGAGATAGGTTCCCATTAGTTCAAAAGAAATTTTACAATGAAGACAGCCCACTATATATATGGATACTGTTTCTGCTTTCCAGAATAACATAGATTTTAATTATAAATGGAGTAAAAACTTTACTCTTTGAAATTTGATATAATTGGCCTATTGTGTTACTTTTCCCATCTAAAAGATTCGTCATTAATTAGGAAATTGCATTCTTTCATGAGGAAAAAGAATGATAAATGGCTTCTTTTCAATGACTTTCAGAATTTCAAGAACCAAAAATTTGACAGATTAAAATATGTACATTTAAAAAAATTATGGTAAATTTCTAATCTTGTTGATTTAATTACAGCATGGTTTCATTATACAAATGTTATCTCTGGCCACAAGTATGGAACAACCTCAACACGTTAGGTTACAATAATTCTAAATTTATACCAAGCCACAGTCATAATGATCAATACTTGATTTGGCTCTAAAACAACACACCTAGCCATATCTTAAAGGCTTTATGAGTTTGTTCAAATCTACCATCACCAACTTAAATCAGACATCTAAAGCAAATCTAAATGACCCACACAGAGAACTAGTATGATCTTAAAATACTATTTTCAGTTACTGATAAGTCGTCATGATCTATTTGGGCTTTCAATGACCTTCTCTTTGCTAGAGAAATCTTGGTCATGTCTTAAACCTTTATTCTCATGAAGTGATTTTGTGTATAAGGAATTCAGTCTCCAAACAAATCAAAGCTGGACTAAAATAAACTAAACGCAGTGTCTGATTTCAAATGTCCATTTGTTGAGTTCTTAATAATATTTTATTCTTATTGAGGATGGGAGTGGGCTTCAAGGGTGTAATAGAAGACTTAGGAAAATGCTCTCCTTAGTGAACGGGAAACCCCTTAGAAGGAGATGTGGCTCAGTGGGCTAGAAGAGCATTGTTGCAATACTGTGCTAGCTACAGGATTGATAGGCCCAGTGCAGATTCTCTTTGTTGAATATAACTGTAACAATCTCTGGAAATTCCATATAAGACAATTTAGCAATGATGCTTTACTATGTTGTCCTGACTAGAAGAAAAAATTGAAAGCACAATTTGGTGGCATGGGAAATACCTTTGTTCTCAGTAGCCCTATGTCTTGACTGTCTGTGGGACAAGAATCCACCATTAGCTAATCCGAGGTAGAATTCTATTGTACTTACTTCTCGGTTCATATATGGTAATGGAGTATATTTTAGGTTAAACTGAAACTTGGAATCATTGGCTACATATGATTTACATGCAGCCCGACGTGGAGAGAGAATGAGATAAAGAACGATTGGGCCTACAGAGCTACCAAAACCTCCCTCTTCTCATTTAATCCAGGTTTGCCAGGCCATGCACCCAAGGCCCATGCAGACCAAAGAGGCAGTCCAGGCTGTCAGTATTAGCAATGAGGTCATGGCTGAGAGAGAACACTAAACAGATCTACACTGATGTTCATCTTAAGCTGATTAAACTCTCTTATAGGTGGATTCTTAATAGCAACAACAAAAAAAGCCTTGCTTGAGTTTTTGTCCCTGGCAGATGCTTACAGTAAAACTCCTTACTGCTTGTGACAGCCTACGTGCGCCTTTGCACTAGGTGTACCCTCTGCCTGAGAAGTTCTTGCCTCAGATATCCACATGGCTTGCTACCTCATTTCCACAGGTCTTTACTCAGATGTCATCAACTTCACAATGAGAGCTTTTCTGAAAACACTTTTTAAAATTGCAAGCACCCCCTAGGTCTTCCCTACTCTCTGCCCTACTTTTTTTTTTTTTCCAGAGCACCTATCACACCATCAAACCTATTGTATATAATAATTTTTTGTTCTGTCTAGAATATAAGAAATATAAGAATATTATATAATTATATAAGAATTTAAGAGCCATGAAGGCAAGACTTTTTATCGGCTTCATAACTGCTGAATTTCCACAACAGTGACTGGTACATGGTAGACAATTAATATTTGCTTAGTGTTATTCAAAGAGTAGCAAATTTTAACCAGTGCTTGTTCCATGAACTAAAATTGTATCTTTCATCAGAAAAAAATAATATGATAATAACAGATATACCTCTGCTGCAAAGGCATAGCCACAGAGTAGAAAAATGTTCCACATGGCTACTGTAAACCATATAGATATTTGCATTAGGCCTGGTATTCAAAAAGAAAGCATATCTTGTATTTATACAGGCAAAATGAAAAATATTACTCTTAGTGGCTCTTAGAGGCTCATCAGAGATTGAAAATAGAAAATGAAATTGGTAATGAGAAAAGGCAGTTGAAATTTGCAGAAAAAAATTACCAACTGAAATTGACAGAGGACAGTTGAGGAGGATCAGTTAGGAGTGACATCTGCTGATGTGTAGTTAGTTCTAGCTCACTGTTAGGAACAGCTATTCTCAAGAGGCCTGTGTAAAGGAACTGAAAAAATTAAATTTAATTAAGTAGAAAGGAACATTTCATGTAAATAATAAAAATTTTGCTTTGTTTCTTTTTTCCCCAGCTTTATTGACATATAATTGACATATAAGATTGTGTAAGTTTAAGGTGTACAATTTAATGATTTGATATACGTATATAGTACAAAATGATTAACACAAAAAGGTTAGTTAAGACATCCATCACCTCACATAGTTACAATTTTGTGTGTGTGTGGTAAGAACTTTTAAAATTTGTTCTCATATAGCAACTTCAAATATACAATATAGTATTGTTAACTATAGTCACCATGTTGTACATTAGCCCCAGAACTTATTCATCTTATAACTGGAAGTTTGTACCTTTTGACCACTTCATCCATTTCCCCTACTCTTCACTCCCTTGCCCCTGGCAACCACCAGTCTGTTTTTTGTTTCTATGGGTTTGGGTTTTTTTAGATTCCACATGTAAGTGAGATCATAAAGTATTTGTCTTTCTCCATCTGGTTTATTTCACTTAACATAATGCCCTCAAGTTTCATCTGTGTTGTCACAAATGGCAGGATTGCTTTGTTTTTTATGGCTGAATAATATTCCTCAGTGTGTGTGTATCACATCTTCTTTATCCACTAATTCATTGATGGACACTTAGGTTGTTTCCATGTCTTGGCTATTATAAATAATGATACAACGAACATGAGTGCAGATCTCTCTTTGAGATCCTGTTTTCATTTCCTTTGCATATATAGCCAGAAGTGGGATTGCTGGATCATGTGGTAGTTCTACTTTTAATTTTTTGAGGAACCTCCATACTTTTTTCCATAGTGGCTATAACAATTTACATTCCCACCAACAGTGTACAAGGGTTACCTTTTCTCTACATCCTTGCCAGCACTTGTTATCTCTTGTCTTTTTGATAAGAGCGATTCTAAGCCTGAGGTGATATCTCCTCATGGTTTTGATTTGCATTTCCCTGATTATTGTGATATTGAGCACCTTTTCATGCACCTGTTGACTATTTGAATATCTTCTTTGGAAAAAATGTCTGTGCAGATCCTTTGCCCATTTTTTAATTGGATTTTTTGGGTTTTTTGCTATTGAGTTGTGTGCATTCCTTATGTATTTTATCTGAAATGTGGTTTGAAAATATTTCTTCCATTCCATAGGTTGCCTTTTCATTTCGTTGGTTGTTTCTTTTGCTGTGTGGAAAGAAGGCTTTTTAGTTTGATGTAGTTCCACCTGTTTACTTTTGCTTTGTTTCTTGTGCTTTGGGTATCACATCAATAAAATCCTTGCTAGGACCAATATCAAGAAGCTTTTCCCTTATGCTTTGTTTCTAAAAGAGGTAAAGAAGAAGCAATAGAAATAGGGGATGTTTTATTTTTAACTGGTGAATATGAAAAGAGTAAGTATGCAATTATTCTTACAAGGATAAAACCAGTGATGAGGACCACCAGTTTTTCAGTTTTCATCTCCACAGCAATTCCTGTTGCCAACTATGATGCCAGAGGCACATCCCCTAAGCGGATACATAAATAGACTTCTATCATTTAACTAAGACTATATTGTACAAAGCCAGCACATTCAGAGGCGAAAGACTTTGGGACCATAAAACTGCAAATATTCTAACTCTTTCCATGCTGTGACATTCCATTTTTTTTAGTTCCAAACATGGTGTCAACAATACACGAGAGCAATAACAGTCCTGTGAAGAGAATATGCTTGATTATTATAGTGTTATTTTCTTCAAATGAGAGTTTAGAGTAAATAAAATGTGTCATAGATTAATTTCAGATTTATTATCCATTTATCCTTTCCATGTCCTCTGCCATTCCCCTAACTCTCATTACCTAAACTCACATGTACTATCCTCAGAGTCTATTTATAATGTACATGGAGAGGAATAAATTTATCCATTTTTTTGACATGGATTAATTTCCTCCTATGTGGCTGAATTTTACTTTTTACCATGTGAGTGTGTTGAGGGACTGTTGTTAAGGAGCAATGCATTCATCGGCAGTGCTTAACTAGAGAATTTTCTTATTTTAAACTTTTTGCAGCACACAATTTTCAGTGTCCTACTTAATATCTTATTGTAAAAGATCACTATTAATACATTTAATAGGCCTATATGAAGTTTTAATAGCAACAATACTAGCATCAGGCCTTAGTAACTCCTCATCAGGTTACTTATTAAATCTCTTCCAAGTGTCAGACACTGTTGTCTATTCTGTAGGGCATACCTGTTCTCACACTTTGGTAAATTGTAGTCTGTCAGAGGCAAAAAGATGTGCCTACAAATAAGGGTAAAAATCACAACTAAACATATGTCTTCCATTGGAGAGATGCAAATAAAGTAACATGAAAGTGATAGGAGGGAAAGATCACTTCTGAGGAAAGGCTTCAAGAAGAAGAGCATGAAGAAGTCTTGTCATTAGGAATACACAGAATATGTTAGGCAATGATTGAACAGTCTGCCTTGACTGATTGCTAATGGAAGATGTCTTGGTCTGTTGATGACAGGTCATGGAGGTTGCCAGGCAAGCTCACACTTTACTGAGTATGCAGTGAGGAGCTGTTGAAGATTCTTGAGTGGGTGGGAAGAACATGAGTGGAGCTGTGCTTTATGAAGGTTAATGCAAGAACAGTTTACAACCTGGATTGGAGACAGCAAACTGGAAGATGATTTAGCAGACTTTGAGAATAGTCTATGTGAGTTTAGGTGATAAGAGTTAGGGGAATGACAGAGGACATGGAGAGGAGGAAAAGATGCAAGTGATGCTCCTTCTCAGCTGTTGGATTTAAAGTAGGTCAGACAACTCTGAAGCTTCAGGCTTGAATGCCTGAGAGGATAGTGGTTACTTTAACAGGAATAGGTTATCCGAGAGAAGGAGTAGGTTTGGGGAGAAGATAATGAGTTCAGCTATGAATAAAAGAACCAGAGGATATTCAAATGGAGGCATTCTTTTTTTTTAATGAAATATAATTGACATACAGCATGGTATTATTTTAGATGTATGGTGTAAAGACTGTATTTACATATATTATGAAATGATTACCACAATAATTTTAGTTACTATCCATCATTTCATATAGATATGAGAAAAAATGTTTTGGAGGCAGTTTTTAAATGATAGTGAAGTTGAGAAGAGCAGAGATATGGATTTGGGGATTATCGATGTACATATGATAGTCAAACCCATGGGCACAAATGAAGTTGGTATGGGAGAAAAGCATAGAAATAAAGGAGGATCAAAGACAAAATTTTGAGAAATTATACATTAGAGGCAGAGGGAAGAATAAAAAACAAAACAAAAAAACAAGCAAAAAACCCCAAAGAAAACAAAACTAGAAAAGAAGGCAGAAGGGAAGCACTCCTTAATAAAATAGAGTTTGGCATCTCAGAAGATAAGTTTGGTAGCTGCCTTGCAGGGTATCTGGCAGCTCATGTCCCTCTTCTCTAAGAACTAATCCTCCCCCAACACACAGAGGGCTTGGGTCTGACAGCTATGTTTGTATAAAATGACCTTGTTCCTCTGACCATGGCTGATTTGACCTGAGTTCGACAACTGACCAAAGCTGGACCAATCAAATTTTGTCCCTTGGGAATTTGGAATTAAGAAATACAGTGTTATTAAGGGCATGAACTGCGTGAACACAGAAACGTGTGCATGAGGTGGCCATCTTCTGTCACAGGCACAGAAGAGCAGAGGAAACCTGCCTTCTGAGAGAAAAGAATGAAGAGATTTGCAGAAAATAGAAATGAGACCAGGTGACCAGAGAAAGAGAGAGAGCCTGAGAGTATGTTCTTTTTCCCGTGAAGACTATTTTGTCTCATCCTTTTTCTTTAGTCCTCTAACATCATCCCCACACCTGCATACCTCTGATACAACTCCAGTATATTCCTAAAATCAAATTTACCAGTCTTTTGGCATTTGGACCCATTTCTCCCTCCTTTCTTTTACAAATGGTACATTGTCTCCTCTCCTATCAAAGGCATTTCCTCTACGTCTCCTCTTACCTTCCCTCTTACCTTCTCAAGGACTTCAGTTATTCCCTCCCTCTTGTTCATCATCAAATTCTTGATTATTCCCAATATGTATGAACATGCTGATCATAACATTTAAAAAAAATCAGAACAAAGATTCTTATGATACTCTTTCCATCTGCAGTCCTAATTCTCTGATCCCTTCACAGCAACTGTTCTTGAGAGCAATGTCTACAAGTCTCTGATTTCCTATAAAATTTACTCCAATCTGGCTTTCACCCCACCAGGCCATGCAAACTGCTAATCAGTGTTATCGACAGCCTCCATATTACCAGACCCAATGGATATTCCTTGGACCTCATCCAACTCCATCCTTTACCTGTTTTCAACATAGTTGGTCAGGCTCCACTTCTTGAGAAAAAAATCTCTTCTTTTGGAGTCTACGACACTGCCATTGCTTGGTCTGTCTCCTACTTGTCTAACCGCTGCTGTTTACTGTTCTTCAGGGGTTTTTCCTCTTCTTGTCTTCTCTAAAAATTTGGCTCTATTCTCTGCTTTCTTTATAAACTCACCTTCTTGGTAATCCCAGCCGTTCCCATACCTTTAAATACTATAAAATGCTGGAAACTCCCAAATTAATCTCTCCAGCCCAGACGTTTCCTCCAAATTCAGACATCCAGTTGCTTATATGACATGTCAAGTCTCTGTGAATATCTGAAGTGAATGCATCTGAAACAGAACCAAACTCTTGAATTCTATATTCCTGCTTTTCCCTCCATCAAAAAGAAATTCTATTTGTTTTTTCCCCACTTAGCAAGTGGTATCACCATCCATCCAGTTATCCTAAACAAGACAACCTGGGCAATATTCTTGACTTCTCACTCTCCTTCCCTCCCCAACTCCAACCCATCAGCTAGTCCTCTCGTGTGTTCCTCATAAGTGGACATCTAATCCACCCACCTCTCTCTGTCTCCTCTACTACTACCTTAATCCAAACTACCATCATTTCTTACCTGAGCTATTGCTATAGCTGCCAACTGGTCCTCCAACTTCTGCTCTTACCTTCCTTAACCTATTTTCTGCTTATCAGTCAGGGTAAACCTGGAAATATATTGGACCATGTTGTTTCCTGCTTAAATCAGTTCAGTGTCTTTCAATTACTTTGCAATGAAATCCAAATTCCTTAAAATAGCTTAAAAGGTCTGCCTACTCTGGCTTCTGCCTCCTTCTGCAACCTAAGCTTGCTCTATTCTCCCCATCACCCTTTAAGTTCCAGCCACAGTGGCCTTTCACTTCCCCCGAAACACCACTGCAGGGCCTTCACACAGGTGTATCCTCAGCCTAAAACACTCCTTCCACATCCTCACTCCTCAGTTTCCCTGAGTGACTCCCTCACATTCTTCAGTTCTCAGCTTAAATGCCATGCCTTCAGAGTATCTTTTCTGAATCCTTACCTGTCACTAATAACCTATGATAATCTATCATTAAGCCAGTTTGATTCATCTGTAGTGCTCCTTACAAGTTGTAAATACACATTTGTTTACTTGCTTATGGTAAGCTTTCCCCACCAGAATGTAAAGTCTCTAAGGGCAGGGACCTTGTCTCTTCTGTTCACCACTTGATTGCTTCATACGTAGCCAGGCCCTAGAATATAGCACATGTTCAATAATTATTTGTTAAAACTTTATTGATTACTGATAGCTTCCTACTTCCTGATTCTAATCCTTGTGCAGCCCAATTATACTTTCTAGGTATTTCCTCTGGTCTTATATTAAAATCCCGCTTGTTGTCTCAATTACTTGAATAGATTTCTGTTCTTATAATTAAATGATCACTAATTGATGAAGTTTTTAAAAAGGTGAAGTGATCAACAATACCAAATGCTATTGAACTGGCAAGAAAGTAAAGGGCTAAGCAAAAGTCATTGGATCTCATCACTGGTAATCTTCAAGCCAATAGTGTCCATAAAATGTGGCTTCTTGGAAGCCAGATTATAGCTGGGCTGATGAGAAGGGTGAGAAGGTAGATGCAACCAATGTAGAATACTCTTTTTGAGAAATCTGACAGTAAAAATAAGGCATGAAGTAAAATGGGGTCTTGGGGTTCAGCAGAGTCCAAGAAAATATATGTCCATTTAGTTTAAAAAAGAATAGAAAGAAATGTCCATAAGCCAAAGAAACCAAGGAGAAAAAAATGAAGAAGCTAGTTTCGAATGGGGAGGAGGATCCATAGATTTAGCTTTCAGGAGGCAGTAGAGGATTTAGTCAAGAGCACAAGTTTGACAAAAAGGGACAATGTTTCCCCCTCCATTACAGGAAGGAGGGAAGATGAGAGAATGAAGGAAAAGAAAATTTTTATGAAGCGCAAAGGGAGGTTGAGTGTGGCCACTTCAGGAGGTAGCAAAGTCATCTAGAATTGGTCATCAAGGGGAAGGTGAGAATCTCTTGAAAGACTTTTCCAAACTATACCTCCATCCCTTTACTCCATCACCTCCCTGCCTGAGACTATAGCTGTGTCCATGTGCCCATCCACTGCAGCAGAGACTCAACTGTTACTGGAGGCCACAATGGCTGACAGGAATGTGCCTTATTTCTTAGGTACAACGGAATGGAAAAAAAGCCTGCAATCACTAAGTGTAGTCAGAAGAGAATATGGAGGTGTCAAGAGTTCTGACCTCACAAAGAATACGACAAGGACAGAGAACTGTGTTTTCCAAACACTTAGATCATTAGGCATACCAGGGACCCTTGCTAAAAATAAGATTTCAGCCTCCTTCCCTGGAGAGCCTAATTCAGCAGGTCTGGGAGTGGGAGGGGTAGGACTGTATGATTTTTAACAAGTTCCTCAGATGAGCTTTATGGTCAGGCAAACTTGGAAAACAATGGATTAAACAACGACAAACAAACACATAGCATTGGAGATTGGATTGGTGATTACCATAGGGGAAGGGGGGATTAGGCTCACATGTGAAGGGATGATTAGGCTCACATGTGAAGGGATGGACTATAATTAGTTTTTGGGTGGTGAACATGATGTAATCTACACAGAATTCGAAATATATTATGATGTACATCCGAAAGCTATATAATGTTATAATCCAACGTTACTGCAATTAAAATAAATAAATAAATAAAACAATGGATTAAAAATGAAGAAAAGTTCACCAAATTTAATTACAGGCGCAAAAAATTTTATCAAATACAAAGAAATGTTGATAACTGACATCATTTCATGGAAATTACCCAAAGCAAACAGTTTTCAAAGAATTGATATCTAATTCTATGGTTCCAAATAATCTACAGTGATATTTAAAATAGAAGAATAGTTTATACCTATTTACTATAGAGAATTTCACTGAGGAAAAGGTAAATGGAACTGATTGGCTAACAGTTACTATTTATAATATAATAATGAGTCAGATATTTTAAAGCCTGTTCTGCTTCTAGTTTGCTTAGCTCCTAGATTAATAAGTAAAACGTAATAAAAATCTAAGAATGTAACTTGATCTTATCCATTCCTAACATTCTTAAACGGGGTCTTTAGCACACCAGCAGTAGAGCCGCTGAGAGTAGATTCAGGTCCATTTAGAATATTTTTTCCATTCCCTCCCAGAAAGGGTGACTTGTATTGATAGACAACAGTCAGGCCCCAGGCTGCTTTCTGGGACCACAGGGCCCCACTAATTTGTACCAGTTTTCCTCTATTCCAGTTGGCCCTGACCATCAGGTATAAATTAGGGCTAAATCAATATTAGCTGCTACTTCCCCAGGTGTGGGAAGTGAGGAAACCTGATCACATGAGCAAACACAGCCCTTCCTGGCTACATTTAAAATAAGATGGTTATTATTTTACTGTATGGGGAAAAGCCTTTTTTTTTTTAAAGCAAATTTCAGGCCACCTTAATTTGCATTAACTTGATGTACTGATATCAATAGTCAGAATCGATTTTCAGTTATGATAGTTTCCCTACCACCCTTCGCAGTCTCTTCATTCTTTCAGGGAGGTTTCTCCCGCCCTTCCCATTTATTCTCGCCTCCCTCCATGCCCTGTGCCCTACACCATTTTTCATTTCTAGTACTACTTACTTATGGGCTTGAGTGGATGAGCCAAAGGGGACTTAGTTTACATACCTGTTTCAATTGCTCACCTTGGGCGGAGCAGTGTCCTAAATAAACTTCAGTTTTGCCATAGCACCATTACTCAACAAGGTATTTATACAAGTGTCACTTAATAACACAAAAACAAAAAAGGCACTTAAACTTGTTATTGAGGAAAGAAGCTTTAGCTGCCCATTTTCCTTACTCAAGGGCCAATCTTACTTCACTTGTTCTTAGAAAACTCTTAAGGAATTTCTTTAAAGAAAATCTAAGAGAATCAGCCTGAGCACAAGGGCTATGAGTCAGGCCTAAGCTACCTTTACCTTTGAAAGGATTAGTTCCTTTGTCATTTCTCTTAACACTTCCAAGTCACAGCTACTCATAGTGTAGCTGTGCGTTCAACACACTCATAAATATTGAAAATATGTATGTTCAGTATTTATCGATAGAGGAAAACAAATGCTCAATATTCCAACAAAATGGTGTGACTCTACATGATTTTCCTCCTTCTATATCCCGAGTTTTATAGAAATTTCATAGTATTTATAAAGCACTTTCATATTTATGACCTTTTATATGCACCAATTCTGTAAAGTGTACTATTTCCATTTTACAGATGAGGAAACTGAAGCCTGCAGCCTTGGCTAGGGTCACAACACAGGAGAGATTCGGAACTGGAAATCAGGTCTCCTGACTCCAGGCCCAGTGTTTTTCCCTCACTATAACAATTGCCTCCATCGAAGAGAGGCAGGGATCTGATGACTTGGTAATAGAGAAACGTGGATCTTTTCCACCCTTGGTCTTTGAAGGACCTATGAGCTAATAGTGTATGCAAGAGAGGACACTTCCTGCCTGAGAGATTGATTACCTACGTGCAGGGCAGCCTGATGATGCACCCTGATAGGAGAAGGGCCTGTCTGCAGGTCCTCATTTGCTTTAAACATCCACAGTTCCTGATAGGAAGACAGGGTGTGGTAATTATATATCTTGCTTTTGGCTTATCTTCTCCATATCCTCACCCTCACAGATGTCTTTCAAACATTGGTAATTACAGCTTTCAGAGCCAAAGCCTACAAACTCCCAATCCCCACAGATGACATACTAAAATCTATTCAAACATGTAAGACTGAAAAAAATTTCAGTGCTACTGGACTCACATTAAAAGAAAACTTTTTACGAAAAAGGTGGCCTTTATGGCTATGTCACTGCTGTTCTCTACTACATAGATGGGGAATGGTTTCTTGTTGATCTGTGGGGATGTGTATTAACTCATTTGCCTCTAAATTTAATCAGTAACTTAAAAATAGACTAAAGTATGTGTGCAGATGACAAGACCATATGATTAAAACCAAATAGTCTGACATTGGAAAACGGATCCAAGTTAATGAAACCAACTTGAAACCATGAAGGAACTGCTTCTAAGCAAGTTGAAGAATCAGTATCAACAAATAACTACAACACAGAAAAGCAGGTGTCCTTGTCCTGGTGGCCTATAACTGGAACCTGAGTTAATAACATCATAACTTGTAAGAATTCAGCAAGTTCTTGCTATAGTGGCAGCAACATGATAATATATAAGGTATGGTGAAATTTCTCACCATCTGTATCACTGGGCAGACCAATGGTAATATA